AGAGAGAGAGAGAGAGAGAAGAAAAATGTAAAGAAAAAAAGAATATATAAAAAATTATAATTATTTTCATAAATAAATAACGATATAGGGTAAAAAAGATAGAAAAATGAGAAAATGAGAAGATTTATAAAATGGGATTTATAAAATTATAAGATTTCTAAAATATTATAAAATGAAAAGACAATAAAAAGACATTTTAAATCATTACATATATATCGACATTGTATAACTTAAAATAACCTGTAAATATGTGATTTACTACATAAATTGTATAAACATTGATTGTATATGTATATATACAAATTTCATAATAATATGAATTTTTAAAATAAATCGGCAAGGAATTGTATAACGAGTAATTTCTCAGTTTTTCTTTTCGTAGTATTGATTCTCTGTTCAAAATCAATTATCAAATTTCCATTTATTCGCGTTCTAATAAATACTTATATATATATGTATATAGAAAGGAGATATATTATCTGTCTCTATATTATAATCATATATTAATAATTCATAATAATTCTAAATGAATTTAGTATACGATTGATGAATAAAGAAACAAAAAAACAATTATATTATTTAAAAAGTGAAACAATTTATTTAGAATAAGCAATAATGCAACATTGATTATATTGATTAATCTATATATATATATATATATATATATATAGTTATCAACGTTATATTTAATTTCTCTGATAAATATAGCAAATATTCTATTATTAAGCATTCTCATATTGCAATTATTATTCGTACATTAACAATCAATGATTGATTAAGCGTATAATAAATGAATCGATTGATAAATCTAGTAAACTTAATATTTGTTATTTATGAATGGAAATTGGACATATTTTAAAAACATATTTTATAATATGATTAATCTTCGTATAAAACATATATGCATCATTGATTTAAAATTTTGGAAAATAACTGTATGAGTTAGTTAGAAAATATATATATATATATATGTAAGAAAACGGCATAAAAGGCAATATGATAAATAAAAAATTATTTATCTATATCTTTCTTCCACTTAAATTGTAAATATTAGATTTCAATTTTATTAATCAATCAATTATCGGCATGCTTCCAACAATTATGGAAAACAGGGAACATATACGGAAACCTCGACATAGGATCGAGCAAAGGGAAAAAGAGTGGGAGAAAGAGAAGAGACAAGCGAATGAATGCACTATACAGTCAGAATTTTCTGTTGAAAATCGATGAACTATTATCTATAAATCTTTTCCACAATATTTCAATATTCAATACTTCTTTATAAATATAATTTTTTTCTAATTCATTCCATTATTACAAAAAGTCGAATATATTGATTGAACGAAAATATTTTCTATTATTCAATTTATCTATCATGTCCGTTTACGATACACGAAATATATAGTATATAGTATAATGAGAAAGAAGGACGGCTAGTAGTCAGGCCGACTGACTCTGTTTGCTGGGGCCTTTCTCATCCGACGGAGAGGTAAAAGAAAGGATGGCAACAGAGAGAGCAGCTGCCACTGAGAAAACGGACGGTTACTGAATGGTTTCTACTACTGCTGACTTGGTATTTGTTAGTTCTGATTACTCGATCCTCGTTCGTTATATTTCGTTTTTACATATGTTTTTTTTAATTAATATTTTAAAAAATCTATATATATTATTATTAACAAACATTTACTCAAGATTACATATTAGAAAATTAATTTCAAAATTTTTTATTACGAATATATAAAAAGGTTAAGAAAAAATAATTTCACCTGAAAAATATGTTTGCTAATAATCACCAACTGGTTACCGTCGGTAGCCATTTTAATCTTAATCATAGCCAATTTATAATTTTAACTTGAAACACGTACTTCCATGCAAATCGAAAATCTTGTTTGATGTTTTTCAAGTAGAAATAACTGTTACAAATTGTTACAAATCACGTTTCTTGTAAAAAAAACACTTTGTATAACTAGTAAACGTAATCGCGACGGCCGTCGCCCACAAAGTCACAGCTAATGCTACTGTCTATCATCTAACAATTAATCGTAATTATATTAAAACACTAAATTTTCCATACTTCTTGCTTAGATATTTTGTGCACAATAACAATTAAGAAAAATATAAAACGATTCAATTACGTGTCCAAGTAGACAATAAGGACACAAATTTCTCGAAGCCCGACGGGCAGCCATCTTGGGTAGGCACGGTCAACTCTCCGCTGTTTCGCACAATTTTTCGCGCGCAAGAATAATCTTTTAATTACAACATCGTACTGTTTATTTTTACGAAAGAACGCCTGACAAGTTAATTTCATTCGATAATACACTTGTTCGACCATAATACAAAAAAAATTATCGAGAACAAGTAAGGAGAAACACTGCGTATAGAAAATTATCTTCCTCTCTCTTTTGCACTCTATTGTAC